GCATTCCTCATACTTATTCCCCAGATCCCACTGAAGATTCAACTAACTGCTTCAATGGCAAGAAGCCTTCCCAGTCCTCATCAAAATTTATCTTTCTCTTTCTCTCATATTTTATTTCTCTATGATGTATCTTTAATCAGACACTTTCACAATCTGCTTTGTGTTAGAACAGGCAAGGAATGCATTAAGAACAACCAATTATGGAATAGGTACAGGGTACAGGGCCAGCATACAACATGCCTGATCACTACTCCTCCAAACTGTCAGCGTCATCAAAACAAGTACATTCTGAGAAACTGCTACAGCCAAGAGGAGCCTAGAGAGAGATGGAAATTCAATGTGATGAGATCCAGGAATAGAAAACAGTATTAGGTTAAAACTAAGGAATTATGAATTAGTTACAGAAAAACAAACAAAAACCTATTATGTTAAGTTACATGGATAGAACATGTAAACAAACAAAATGTGTTATTCTTAAATAATATAGAAATTTAACATAATTAATTCACATATAAATTAATTTTTAAATGATTTATTTTTTATATAATTTATTTTTAAATATGTAGTAAATTTTATATAATTTAATCTTTTAATGATTAATTCACATATAAATCATTAGAAGTTTGACCAGTAAAAATCACTATTTGGCTACACTTTGATAGCTCTACAATTTACTTAAATGTAATAAATGGACTAAAGTAGTATGCATTTAAAAAACATGCAGTAGTTAAAAGGATTACCCTATCTTTACTCCTAAATTAGTAAAACACAAGTCTATGCAAGAGCAATCAATAGCATTATGAAAAAACATTTCTGAAGTTACAGTACCTTTTAAATATCTAACTTTTGTATGTTCATATAATTATGCTTTTATAAAAATGTATCTATTAAATGCAGTTTTTATGTACACCATTACCTGTAGTTCTGTCTTCAAAAAAAAGGCAAGATTTACAAAAAAATTTGTATTTCATACAACCTAAAAGGTATAATTATTTTACATACCACTAAGAAAGACAAATGCTGTCAACCAACTGTAAGACACGATTGATTATAAGAAGTATCCCAGTTTTGCAGGTATTAAAATGTTCATTTTTTAAAAAACAGGACGAAATGATAAAACGTTCATTTTTAGAATCAGTGAAATACAGTAGCTTTTCTCATGGTGGAAACATTTTTATTACACATCGTGCCAATTTAATTGGTGAGTGTAGTTTATGGTACTGAATATTTGTGTAGTGCAGGAGAAAACCCTTCATTCTCTAGTTTTTATAGAAAAATAATTTAGGTATTTCATATGGTAAGGCAAAATATCTTATTAATGCAATGAGGGGAGAAACAAACTCCCCTAAACACTAAAATAAGTTAGCAAATGGCCCCCAAAATCTGATTTTTGGGGAAACAAAAATTTAAAAAATGGAAATACTGTTCCCTACAAGTTGTCCAACAATAACAATAATTTTAAAAAATACAACCAAACTTTGTGAGTCATTTGTGTTATGATTATTACGTTGAAACAGCTTATATTAGTTTGGATTAGATCACATAGATTATCAAGACTCCTATTGAATTTATCTTTTAAGTTACATTTTTTAAAACCAGAAAGGTAATTAAAAAAATCTGGGTTTTTTGTCAAAATAAATTAACACAGCAAGTTTATATGCATTTCTCATTTAGAAAAAGATAGTATCTTTAAGATTTTGTTCTGTTATATGACTTTTAAAAAAATCAGTTGCTTCAATGGATTGAAAAAAAGAACTGTTTTCCTTAGGCTTTCTTTTCTTAGGTTCAAAGGTAATTGTGTTTTCTTGGTAAGTAAGTTCCAGATGATCAACATATTCTGAAATGTAGGAAAGAATTGGTATCTGTTGGTCTGAGAAGAAATTACACATGGAATGGTTTTAAGTTTAGCTATTAAGGTTTCTCTTGAGAATAAAAGCACTCTTGATAGTTACTTCACACATTAATGAGGCTGAGTCTCACAGGCAATTTTTTCTCTTCTAATTTAAGAAAAAAGTTAAATGTTCCAAAATCTCACTGATTTCTTTAATATCTGTATAGTAAATCTAATATATCATATCCCCAGTGATTTAATTAGCTACAGTGATATTAGCCATTCATTACAGAGTCACTATGGACATACAAAAACCCAAAGGTCTATGTTTGAAGTTCTAGGGATATTCATAAATTACACCTAAAATTCCATAAAGAAACTATACTAAGTATGTTCATATCCATCAATAGGTTAACCAAAAAATGTGGAAGACAGTATGCCTTACACATTTCTTTATGCATTTATAGCACCTTTTGTTTCTGGCTTTCTAAATATACTAAACAAGCACTCTCTTGACATGGGTACACAAGCCAGACAAGCTTGGGGCAACCTAGACCAGGAGGAAGCGTGGAGTCAAGAAAGGGCTCCAGTGCTCCGCACCCCCAGTGATTTCCATGTAGAAAGGATGTTGGCCACTCTGGTAACCAGAGGGGGGAGGCATGGTTGGATCTACTTCTTCCCCCAGATCTGATCTTTTGATCAGAAGAAAATTTTAAAGATGCCCTCATGATGACTGTACCTGTCAGCTGCATGGAGCTACACTGAAGGATTTTTCTGAGCCTGATTTACAGTGATATGCAGCTGCCTGGGGAATCATGCTGGTGGATGCATTCTCGGGAATGACACACACTCACTAAAGGTGGTTTAAAGGAAGCCCTTGGCGGAGAGCCTCATAGATTCCTGCAATCTGGATGTCCGAGCAGGTGGTGGGGGCAGGGGGCAGTGTAAAGAGGACTTCCGCTTCCTGCAAGTGCTGTGATCCCTGTCCTTGTCTCAGACAGATAAGTGTTTGGTTGGGTCTCTGCCAGCTTCCTTTGGGAATTCCCTCTGAAAGCGGTATTATACATCCCCAAATTGGGATTAAGGATCACACATGCCTGGTACATAGCAGACATTCAGGACATGAACTGGGAACACTCCTTGTCCTCCAGGAGACAGAATCTCAGTAAGGGTCCTCCCACCTGTATCAAGCAAGCAGGTGCTGGGCTGGACTCCGGCATGGAGTGGGATTGGGATTGCAATCCCCCCCTCGGAGGTGCAGTCTGGAGGAAGCCCCTACCTGTGGCCACCAGACCACACTATCGGAGCCGAGAGAAGCAGCTTCTACTTCCTTCTTGGCCGCCTAGTGACTGTGTGACCTGGGGCAGATGAAAACCCCTTCTCAGGGTCTTGGTAGAGAAACCATCTAATTTCTCTTTTAAGCTGGGACAGTTGAGAGTAAAAAGGGCATTGTAACACACTGGACAACCACATAAACCAGGGATGCCGCTGAGCAAACCAGGCCTAGTGACCCTGGACTCATCACTACAAGGGGGACTGTGCTCATAGTGCTTCCTGACTGGGTGCCAGTCTGCTCCTCCAGTTTCCCCCCGTTCACACAGTTTGCATTTCTGCCTTTAGCATACAAGCTCATCATCTCACAGGGATGCCTTCAGCTGCTTGGAAGAACCCATTCCTCTGGGAGCCCTGTTATCCCAGACCACTGCTAAAGCAGTGACTCCCCCCCACCCCCATATTTTGACGGCTGGATGAGACCTTATGGTGACTGATGGCACGTATTGTATTTTTAAGGGTCTGAGGGGTTCAGCACTGCCCTCTCACTAGTGCAGGCAACCTAGCGAACATTCCCAGTGATAAGGCAGTGCCCTAGACCTCAACAAGGATGCTCAGGCCTCCTGGAGGTCTGCACAGAGCCACCATGAGAGAAGGGCTGTGACTCATTCTCCAGGCCAAGCCTAGAGACCAGGGGTTGTCAATGAACAGCCCCAGGTGCCGAATAGTGGTGTTTATGAATGCTTGGAGTGTGCCCATTTAGCCTGCAACCCTTTTACATATGAACAAACATGGGGTTCAGAGAGGTCTGGAAAGTTGTCAAGGTTATCTAAGGAGAAGACAGAAGCTGGTATTTGGACAGAGGACCCTGGTGGGCTACACAGTCCATGGGGTCACAAAGAGTCAGACACAACTTAGCTACTGTATAACAACAATCACCCTCCTTCTGCTTGGCCAGAGTTTCACAAAGTGTTGTTGCTTAGTCGCTAAGTCATATCTAACTCTTTGCAACCCCATGGACTGTATCCCGCCAGGCTCCTCTGTCCATGGGATTTCTCAGGCAAGAATACTGGAGTAGGTTGCCATTTCCTTCTCCAAGGATCTTCCTGGATCAGGGATGGAACCCGTGTCTCCTTCAGTGGCCGGAAGAGGCTTTACCACTGAGCCACCAGGGAAGCTCTTCACAGAGTGTCCCAAAGATATATATATATAAGATAATTTTGAGTTACAGATGGTTATTTTTAAAAAAGTTTATATTTATCTGAACTAGAAAGAAACTGCAGCTGGCACATAAGACCTATGATTTTGCTTAGGATGGAGCTAAAGCATATGTTTAAATGAGAAAAGGTCAACTTTGTCAAAGTATTAGTAAGTGGACCTAGTACTCCTGAAGGAAGGCTAAATTTGGAATGCAGGTCCTAGCTTTGATTTGTAGAATGTTGTGTGGCTCTGGCCACAGCACCAGAGGCAGAGGGTCTCTGAGATCCTGACCTAAATATCTGTGCCCTGATTCATGTTTGCTTTGCCACTTCGTCCATGATCTTACCTAAGCCGGGAAAATGCATAATGAAGGGACCAGAGAGTTCAGTCTGAAGCCAGATTGAAAACAAAAAAGAATCCCAGAACAAGAGTGCCATTATAATCCTATAATTCTGCTTGAATTGACTGTGGCACTGATCTGGCCCTTGCCAACTCTATTATATTTACCGAGCACTCAAAGGTTTCCAGTCAACTCCTATATTATTCTCTGAAATTGAATTATGAAATAGTAAATATTCCCAAACACAATTTTTTTAAAAGTATACTCACAGTTGCCAAACACTTTCCATTTGGTCTGAGTTCTGTTAGTCTTACAAATCCTCTAAAAAAATAAGCACTTTCATAAATGGAAAATTTATCAACTTCCATTTATAAATTTATTTAAAAGTAAATTTGTGGATACTTTTCTTTACAGTGCACAAAGTCAAATGAGAGCACATTATTTCTGGGCTTCTTAAACTAGGATACATGTTAGGAGCATGGGGTTTAACCAAGATGACACAATGTGTTGTCCTAAAGAATATAATTAATATAACAATACCTGCTAAATGAAAAACTTTTTTGAATTACAATTAATTATGGAATTAGAATGCACCATTTATATCACTGTTATGATAAAACAGAATTAAACCATTTCAATGTCATGACTGAAAGAAGTGTGAGAAGTTTTTGTTAGCAAAAAAGCCCTGTGTATGAAAAATGCAAAGCAGTATTCAAACATGTCATTTCCAGGTTTCAGAATCCCTTTGCCTCCACGAAGCCAAACAGCTTCAGGCCTTATCTGCATACAGTTTCATTTCCTCAGGCATTTTTAGAAGATGAAATATGTATTAATAATAAAGTATGAATTCTCTGAAAGAAAATACATTCTTAGAGGTTGTCTGAAAAGGCCTCTCTCGAACTTAAAATTTCTGCTTTGTCAAAAGGCAGAATTCTGAACTCTAACAGTCCTCATGAAGGACTGTCAGAGCTTCTAAAATCTCAAATCAATCACAACAAACCTCCCTATATATGGCTGAACCTAATTAATATAAAAGTCTCCTGTGACATTTCTTTTGCTCTGATTTCCTACTGATCTGTGTTAGTATAGTTTGATATATTAAGTCTCCTGCTAACTGCTATTTTATCTGCTTTCGGAGATATTTTATTACTTCAATGAATGAGACCAATATTAGTAACAGATTCTATGAACAAAGCCACTATGTATGTTATTTTATTAGCAGGCCTGGAGCAAAGAAACTACAATTCCTTTCCCATTTCCTTTTATAATTCAAACTAAGATGTCTTAAATATGCCTGCATACCCCATTGTGCCTAGCAGTAGATGCTCAGGAAATGACTTCTAAATTGGATTAACCTTCCAGTTTTCACTGAAATACATTATGATTGTATCTCAGGTGAATCTAGTCACTTGCATCTCTTTTAACTCACCTTTAAAATGTAGCTACATGAGGGATCTGCTGAACACACTTCTGAAACGCATTATTCCTGCAACTCAATAACCGTAGCTAACACTCAGAGAACTTATTCTGAGCCAGGTCCTTTTCTAAGTCTCTATGACTTTAAAATCCACTGATTAACTCATGTACTCCTCACAAAAACTCCTGCAGGCAGGTATTATTCCTATTTTACAGATGGGTTAAGTAACTTGCCCATGCTCCCTCAGCAGTGTAGGCTGTTTCTCAGGTTTGATTTAATGTCAATCCATTGTTCATGTGATGGTCCCACAAATGCGATGTTTGCTTATATTCCCAGTATTAGTTCTTACAGAAAAATGTGCTATATGAAAGCAAATGATGTACTGGGAAGCTTTAAAGTGTTTTATCAAATAGCTTATTAAAAACTACTGACATATCTCTACTAATAAAGGATCAAAATGACAGATTATACAATTTAACCCTCACTCTCTTCTAACAGCAATGATTTGGAAAATGAAATCTATTTATCTGGAAGAGTGATGGCACTCTTTCCACAACTATGAAGGAACGCTCCCTACTGTCACATGAAATGAAAGTGAAGCACAAGCCCTTTCCCTGAGGATGTTTTAACCTGATTTTCTTCTTCCTTCATTACACTCAGAGACAGCTAATCTGAACTGCTGGTTGTCCAAATACTGTCGGTATAGAATGCCATATTTCAGGCTTTAAACTATTTTCCTTAAGTTCTCTGCTTTCACAGTGAAATACATGTACTTCAAGTATAATCTTTGCTGAGTTCTACAATTTTCAGCAGGTAGAAAAAATCATAGAAATGGAAACTTACTCCCCCCTCCCGCAACGTATTTCAGTTTGGAAACTGAAGTTCAGAGAAAGTGATAAAAATTCAATTTAAGAAAGATTTATTGATTGCCTATAGTGTGCGTGGTCCTCTATTAGACAATGACATTCAGGCACAAAACAGACACAGGTGCCCTGGCCTCAGGTACCTTATGATCTAAATTAGTACAATACAGATTAGGAACAGTAGACAGACAAGGTACACGTCAACTTCCTAGAATCGACATTCAAGTGCAGTAATTTATGTAATCCAAAATGGCATCTAATTCTAAAGTCTAAAATTTAATTTTATTTAATTCTAAAATAAAATGCATTTGGCTTTGAAATCCACAGCACTTCAAAAAAGAAATTAAGTTCCACTGCAGATAAAGTCACAAAGATGCAAATACACTGAAACTCTTCAGAGCATTATTAATGACTTTTGTTATTCTGGATCTTCTGTTTTCTTCTTATTATGGTTCGAAGCCTTCGCAATACCAGTTTATCAGACAGAAGCATGTCATCTTGTTGTTCTAGATAATCCAGTAAATTTTCGGTCCATTCAAGTGCAGCTTTATGGCTAATATGCTTCTCTGGATTCAGTTCTGTTTTTCTAGTCTTACTGGAAGGCTTGGTCTCGGCAGGCCTGGCCTGGTCCTCCACACATTCACTGTCAGTTAGGACCTGACAGCTTGAATCATTACTCCGAGAGTCAAACCACTGATCAATATTCTCAAGGTCAACATGTTCACAGTCTTCTGTGTTCTGTAAAACTGTTGCTAAGTTAGCTGCTAAAATGGCTCCTTCATCAATGTTCATGCCTGAATTCTCTTCAGTGCCAGGGAAAAGTTTTTTCCATGCTTTGGTTATGGTACTTGACTTTACCATGTTCCAAGCTCTTGACACTTCATAAATTGCATCTAACACTGTCAAGTTCTTCCAGAACATTCTAGGGTCAATTCCTTCGTCCATGTATTTCTGGAGAAGTCCTGCTCGGTAGTATCTTTTTACTGTGGCTAGAACTCCTTGGCTCATAGGTTGAATGAGACTTGTGACATTTGGTGGTAAATATTTCACAATTATTCTGCCATCATCTGAACTCAACAATTCTTCACTTGGATGTGCTGGAGGAAAGTCCAAAAGGAGCACTGCTTTTTCTAGAAGCCCCTTGGATTTCAAATGCTTCTGTACTTGTGGCACAAAGTATTTTTCAAACCACTGTCTGAAAACAGAATGTTCTATCCATGCACTTTTTTGACTGAAATAAGTGACAGGAAGGTTTGAAAGGTCAGCTCCTTTGAATGCACGAGGTTTTTTCGCTTTTCCCACAACACAAAGATTAAGTTTGTGTAAACCAGTGGCATTTGCACAACACATAATAATGATTCTCTCTCTGCTTGATCTATAACCAGAAGAACTCTGCTCAGTTTCAAGAGCTAATGTCCTTGATGGTAGACATTTCCAGAACAATCCAGTTTGATCAGCACCATAAATTTGTTCTGGTTGTAGACTCTCTCTCTCAACGAATTCCTGAAAGTTACCACAAAACTCACTGGCAGCAGTTTCGTCTCCTTTTAATTTTGTTCCTTTACCAGCAGCCTTTGGAATACCATGGCGCTGCTTGAATCTAGTCAGCCAGCCAGAGGATGCATTAAAATCACCTTCCATCCCTAGAGCATCAAAAAAAAATTTGGCTTGTTTTGCACAAATCGTTCCCGACACTGGAATTCCATCTGTTTTCTGTTGGTTGAACCACTCTATCATAACTCTGTCAAGTTCTTCATATGTGGACGACTTCATAGATTTACGTTTGGATACCCCACTTGTAGGATCTGAACTGTTGGCATAGTTTATTATCCTTTCTTTGTTCTTTTTAATATCACGAACTGTGGATTCACCAATTCCATATACCACAGAAAGTTTTTTGAAAGAGATGCCCTCCTCCAGTTTCTTAATAATGTCAAGCTTGTCCTTAATTGTCAACACCACACGCTTTCGTTTCCCCAACATTTTAAAAGGATTACTACAACAAGATCTTTAACAAGTTAGACTTGGACACAATGAGATTTAAAAAATGGTGTTTTAAGATCCCTTTCCTGCCCCACTAGGATCTAGATGGATAGTGTGTTGGCTAATTTCCAGGCCAAGCCTATATGACTCTCTTCACTTTGCTCTTTTAAAATTTACAAACTTAAAACAACAAAGACTAGCTCCAATTAATCCTATCTTCTATCTTGCTTCTCCCAAGTTTAAGATCTTTTCATGAACTGTAATCTCAATGGTGATGACAACCCATACTGTATTAGCAAGGTCTCTAAAACAGTCCTACTGTGTACTTAATTGTTTTTGCCATCCTATGGGCGAGGCTTTATGTTAAAGGAACTAAGACACTGGTGGATGTATCTGGAGAAACGTGCTGGGGAACAAAGTTTTTAAGACAGGACTTGCAAACTTAATAGGAAATTATAATGGGAAAACTCACCCCCTGACTGCTGTCCTTGTCAGGCAGGGCACTGTATGGAATGCTGCCTCCCCGGGCAAGGACTGCTACAGGTTACGCAAGAGAGTGATTATGGAAATCATAGGCAAGCAGAAGGCAAGCTGAACAGAAGTGGGCAGTGCAAACAAGGGTGAAAGTGGAGAAGCAAGAAACTTTGTACTTTAAAACACAAACTTCTACCTAATGTGTTTGGCAACTGAAAAGGGAAAAGGCTGACCAGAAGTAGTGTCACATGATTAAAGAAAGCATAAAAAAAAAAATTCATTGGCAGAAATCAGGACTCATGGTAGAGAGTATGGGGTGGAAGGCTCAGTGAAGATGTTACAATAATCCTGGTGAAAGATGATCCTCGATGGGCCAACAGAAGCAGTTCTTGTCGGGGGCTGTATAGGCACTCCAAGCCTCCGAAAACCTAAAGGAAAATACCAAAAACATTTTTCGTTCAATATCAGGGTCTGTGGCATTACCCACACCTATCCTGCAACTGTGTTGAGAAAATTAACGCCTCCTATGAATGTGATGGCTAAATACAACAAACACTGTTTTGGGGCATTACACACAGTGTCAAGGAGCGGGACCTGAATTGCCTACCTCCTGAAATTAAGAGGTCAGAGATCAGCCGTGTTAGCGAGGGCCTTTCCCCGCAGAAGCGCGGGACGTCTTTGCTCACGGAGAGGGAGCCCGGATTCCTTCGTGGACGCCAGCAACCAGGATGTCACCACCGAAGCCAGCCAGCGAGGGAGCGGGCGCTTGGCCCGGGGGACACCAGTCCGCGGGCCGGGGGCATCGCTCTCTCCTGACTTCGCGGCGACCAGACAAATCTGAGAGCAAATGGAGTCTCCCGAGGGAGGCTGACACCGGCGGCGCGGCGGCGGCAAGCAGCGAGCGTCGCCGCCGGAGCCGGAAGGCGGGGGATTAGGGGGCACGCGCGCGCCCCCGCAGGAACGTTGTGTCGGCGAGGGGGCGGGGCCTGCGCGGGCGAGCGCGCGCGGCCTGGGGGCGGGGTCTCGGACGAGCGAGTGGGAGGAGGCGGGCGCAGCCTCCTCGGAGACTCTGGGCGCCGCGTGGGTTCTGCTAAGGGCCGGGTTGCTCCAACCTGCAGACTGCTTCGCCCGCCAGCAGGGAGCGGTGCAAGCTCACCTTGTCTCAGCCCTTTTCCCAGTGTCCCGGCTCTGTGGGCGAGGCTTCCCCCTACTCTTACGGGGAATAAAAATCGCACCCTCGGAGGGCTCGTGGGAAAGCTGCGCCGCCTCGGGTGCCTTGAGCGGGATGCGAATGGGGCAGGGCGAGCGCACGTGGAGCTTGTTTACAAATAGCGGCCCGGGCGTCCGCGTCTCGCAGCGCAGACTCCCGGGAGTCCCCAGCCCGCCCGCCAGGACAGGACGAACCGGAGCAAGAATCCCGAGTCAAGGTATAAGCGGGGGGACACGGCTGCTGGCCGAAGGCAGGGAGGCTGGCTCCCCGTGGGGAAAGGGGTCAGGCGAGGACGTAGGGCTTAGCTCTGTAACATCCATCCGAGCGAGCCCCGGAGAGGTGAGGGCGCCGCCGAGGGCCGTCAAACTGCGTATCGGGTCTCCTTCCTTCTGGGTTGCTCGTGGGTGAAGTCTGAGTCTGTAGAAGAGACTGTGCGAAGCTGACGGAGCCCGGGAGACGCGAGAGCCTGTGGGAAGCTCCCTGTGAATTTCATGCCGCTCCCTTCCCTCTCTCTGCTTCTAGGTAGTAGTAAGGGAATTGCAATTTAACAAAGACTCCCTTGGTCGGTTTGAATCCGAGATACACTACGTTTCTATTTGGGCGTTTTAAATGGATCAATTGCGGGCACCTGTGCCCTTATAACCGCTGCGAGAGACCGTGCCTTGCCGGCGTTGCCGGACTCGCTTCCCCTCAGGGCCGGGAGCCTTCCCTAGAGAAGCGAGCGGCTACAGTCCTGCGTGGCACCTGTTTACCGAGGGCACGCCTGTAGTCTGTCTTTATTACTTTTTTTTCGTACAATTTGAAAAAAAATGCAAGAGTCTTTTAGTTAAGCCTCTCGAATTTCTGGACATAAATGTCTAACCTTTTTCGTTAACATAAGGTAGCATAGTAATTAGTCATTTATTTGCAAAGGCTACTATGTTGCCAGAATGTTTCAAAAGGGAACTGACTTAAGCAGCCTTACAGTGCAGATGATTTTAAGGCTTCTGACTCTGACTTCCTTGCCCAAACGGCTCATTTTCCTTCCTCAAAATCACAGCTTTGCCCCATCTGACGTGTTGGAGAATCTTTGATCCCCTAGTTATACTGAAGTTGTAAGTGGTTTTTGACAAATGTCTGCTTTTCCTCCCCCTCCCCCCCCCACATCAACCAGTCAGTCTTGGTCCGCTATAGTGAATAAAGTGAAACTTGGTGCTAGTTTGCCTCTTTTCTGTGACAGTCGTGGCAGAGGTGTTTTAATCTCTAAGTTGTGTCCGACTCTTGCAACCCCATGGACTAGACTAGCCTTCCAGGTTTCTCCGTCCATGGGATCCTCCAGGGAAGAATGCTGGAGTGGGTTGCCATTTCCTTCTCCAGTGATAGTTACAAGAAGTGTGAAAACAGGTGTATCTGAGCTATGAAACGACATTCATTACTCAGAAGGAAAGGGAGCTGACATTACATGTAGTCAGAAGTTAGCCTGGTTTTCCCCCCTCACAGCCTACTGATCCCCTAATATTTAAATAAAATGAACTCTGCCTCTTAACCTCTATCCCGCTCTATCTCTGGGGTTTCAGTTTCTTCCAGACACCACTTGGATCATCTCTGTTTCTGCTGAATTCTCCAGCTTGCTGTTATCTTATCTTTTATAACTCTTCCCTTTTCATCAGCTTGTATAAGTTCAAATTTGGAGCATAGCCCACATTTCTTGTTTTCCTCAGAACACTACTTCGTAGGAGACGGTTGTCTGCCCAAGACAGCTTTAGACAAGATTTTTTTCATCTAACAGACTTGTTCCTTTTTGTTGGGGAGAAGGGTCACTAATTGCAGTAGATACATCAGTACATTAGCTACAAGAGTAGGGCTTAGCATGTTAAAATAGAATGCATGTTAGCCTTTTTTTATTAAGAGACTGGCTGGCCATAGGGAACTTCTTACTGCCAGCTCTTTCCATTGAGTGTCACAGCCTTGCTCTGTCTTGCTGTGTCGTCCTTCCCATTTCTGTCCAGTGTTTTTCTGTCTCAGGCTCCCTTCTGTCCTCTTGTTGTAGTAATGCTTTTAAAATATTAGATACAATGTTGGGGAAACGAAAGCGTGTGGTGTTGACAATTAAGGACAAGCTTGACATTATTAAGAAACTGGAGGAGGGCATCTCTTTCAAAAAACTTTCTGTGGTGTATGGAATTGGTGAATCCACAGTTTGTGAAATCTTACAATTCTTCTTCCTTTATTACACAGAGCAATTTCATATTTTGTGTCTGTTTTCCAGTTGTTCCTTACCCTGATCAAAAGACTCTTCACTCCTTGTGGAATTTTGCCACGAGTATTTCTTTCCTTCTGCATATATGCAGTCTCTCCTAAATCCTTCTAATAGTACTTCTAATAGTAAAGTTTATGTTACCTCTGTTTTATGTACAAGGATGCAAAGCCTAAAGAAATGTATGAATGTATCAAATGTAGGTTGTTGAATGGAGATTAATCTGACTCTGAAGTGTGTTCTGCCCACACTATCACACCTGAAGTATTAACTCAGGCACATGAAAAGAGGAAAGTATACTTGTGAGGTTTTTTTTTTTTTAAATTAAAGTCTTGGTTTATTAAAATGAAACTTTTGACAATAACCTACCAAAGGCATTCTTGCTTGAGAGTACTTCTAAGCCTGCAACTGAGTACATCAGACACAGCATTTGGTTTATGGAATGTGGGTTTTCTTAAAACTACTCCAAATCACCTGAAAGTGGCTTATGTTTCTGACCATTTACAAGCCCTAAATTTATTCTTTATGCATAATAGCATTGCAGTAGAATAGGAAACCTCTAGAGTAAATTCTTGATTTTATAGGAATTGCATTTTAGGTTTCCATTTAGTTCATCACTAACCTTATGCACTTGAAGTTTTTGTTAGGTACCTGAAATTACTCCAGTAAGTTTAGGATGAGGACATGTTAACATCATTCCATATGTATTAAACTGATTTAATATCAAGTCATTATTTCTTTGTTAATTGAAAATCTTACTGCCAATAGGAAATCTGTCACTTAAAAAAATGTACTGTTACCTATTTTAAGGGACATAAAATATTAAGGGGAATTTTCAGCTAAAAAATAATTCGGGGGTGTGTTTTAGTGCTAACAAGCTGTAAAACAAGCTCTAGCTGGGAGTCAGGTAGAACTTATTATAGGATTTGGGTAAGGTGATTTTTAGAGAGGTTTAAAGAAAGTGAAGAGTCTGTTCTTGGTTGGGTGCTATTAGAAAGCAGAGGCAATTTGGCTATTAGGCATCTTCATTTTTACCCCAGAAGCCAGAGGAACAGGCTAGAGTCCTCATTGGAGAAGAAGCAGTCATCAATAAAATGAAAGTTTGTACTTTGAAGTCTCTTTTAGCTGTAAAGTTATTTTACTGTATATTGTAGATGAAAGCTTAAATTATTCATTTTTATTATAAAAGTTTTCTTTTAAATAGTTAAAGGCGGGAACACTTTCCCACTTAACTTTCTTGACACAAGTGTGAGGTCAGATCGCTCATTGGAAAGTCCTTTTCCTTTAAAAAAGAAAAGATTATGCTATTGAAAGGTGGCTTATACTCTTGTGTTGTATAGACGCTCAGTAGGCTTTTAGGACTTCCCTTGTGACTCAGCTGGTAAAGAATCTGCCTGCAATGTGGGAGACCTAGGTTCTATCCCTGGGTTGGCAAGGTCCCCTGGAGAAGGGAAAGGCTATCCACTCCAGCCATCTACTCTCTGGCCTGGAGAATTCCATGGACTGTATAGGCCATGGGGTCACAAAGAGTTGGACATGACTGAGCGACTTTCGCTTTCAAGGGGCTTTTAAACTTAATTTTGTTTTCCATGTTTCTTGGTTGGCTGGCGGTAGATTTTCAGCTGATTGGCAGTATAGGCACAGATAAGAGAATGAGTTCCTGGGAGGGTAGAAAAGATTTAATATGGTCAGAAGAGAGAAAATTGCTGGTGGAAATGTTAAGAGTTAGAAAAGTGTGTGGTTGGAAGTTGAAGAACCAGTGAATTGCTGATTGATGTCAGCAGTGTGGATTTGAGTGAAATTACATACTGCCCACCTTCCGTTTCCAAACTTGCCCAGTGTCCAGCTGGTCTCTAAAGGAGCCCACAGTTCTGTCAGGTGGATCAAATCAGGTTTATTGAGAGCCTCAGGTGCCTCCCTCTCCCTCTCCCTGGCAAATGAAGCTTCATGGTCTCAGGCTCCTCATTCTTCTTTAGCCTACAAAGTCTTCTCCTTCTTCTGTTAATCTGTACATCTTTCAAGTTCTAGTTTGTCCCCAAAGCTGAGTTTTTCAAGGTTCCTCAGACCTTATGGATGAGAATCACCTGGGGTGTGACTTATAGATTCTGGTGCCCACTCCAAGGATGAAGCTCAGGAATCATTATTTTCAGTGAGCATCACAAGTGATTGTAATAGGCTAAAGATTGAAAGCCCCTTATACATTGACAACCACTGTGAATGAGATTCCTCTCTTAAAACATTCTTTTGGGAGAGTTTTTCTTTTCTCTTCCCCTCCTACATTCTTAAATTATATGCAATATTTGAAGGAAAACATAAAATACAGAAAAACAAAAAGGGAAACAGTCATACCAATATTCAGAAATAACTACACTTAATAT